TGAGTCAGTTCCCGTCTCAGATTTATATTGTTAAGCCAACTCATACAAATGGAAATGTGATCGTAATTCCAGTACAACTGCTGTGATTTTTACATGCTGAGAAGAATACTAAGGCAGCTGTAATAATAGGGAATGGGTTTCATTTTAGCAGCAGGCCCTTCATTTTATTAAGGATAATTCACAAAAAAGTGCATTAACTCAGTTCTCCCACTCCTTTTCAAAGTTTAAGGGGAAAAAAAAAGAATTCCTAGAGCTTCAAGTCAGACATCATCAGATCCTCAGAATTCGGCACTTACTTCTCTGCTACAAAAAGATGATCATTGTACTTCCTCACAGTCAGTGACAGTCCTGCATTCCCTTTGCTCAAGATAGCAAAATCAACATGGTAAAGTCCCACAGGGGAAGCAATGAACGAAAAAGTGCAATTAGCAAGTTCCTCTCTTACTTCCATTCAAAGTATGGATTGATACTAAAAACAGCACTCTTCTATCATCTCATTTAGTAAAATTCTAAGAAAATGCCTGGCATTGTCATAAACTGGGTTCCCTTAACCATATCATTCTGCAGTGGCCTCACAGCAACCAAAAATGCTGTTCCTATCCTCAATTTCCTCACCCCCTCTCTTTAAACCCTGTCCAGTAGAACTTCTTATTTTGTCTTACATTAAATAAAGAAGGCACCAGACTTCATTCAAAGGAAAATACAAATTGAATCCATAAGCTCCTTTTCTTAATTGGTCTCAACCATGTCAAGAACCTATGCCTTGAATTCTGGCAAGAAGTTAGAATGAACTGTTTCAGGAAGAGAAATAGGCTAATTGGGGCACCTTCGGTATTCCATGTCTGTAACTAGCAGACTACGTAGAAACTGGAAATTTTCTCTAAGTATCATCTTCAGTTCTTGTCACTGTAATATTTCATTTTCCAGTCTACCACACTTCTTCATTTTGGTGGTAGCAGGGAAAGAGGAGGAATAATATAGTGGCCTACCTCCTTAAAATGCAAGCCAACTTTTGTTCAATACTAGTATTATTATTCTTTATTTATTCTTTATTTAAATTTATTGGCCACCCAATTCAAGTGGACTCTGGGCAGCGTACCAAACTAGAGAAAACATAAAAACAGCTAAAAACATTAAATCAAACAGACAGCCCAGACTAAAATGATCTAATGGACAACAAAATCAACAAAACAGGGGCCACTGAACAAATCATAAACATCAACCCCAGGCCTGCGGCCAAGTCAGGTTTTCAAAACTTTCCGGAACCCCAGAACAGAAGGCGCCATAGCCAAATTATTCTAGAGACAGGCACCAAATATCCACAGTTTGGGTGGGATTACTTTCACCTTTCATTAATATTTTTCCAAGATAAGATTTCAGCACTAACAGATGTCATTTCCTTGAAGTTTAGTGGCTTTGATTATAACTAGAATCTGGAAACAGAGGTATACAGTACTAAACTAGTAGTTATAAACTATACTCTTTTATCAGTTAAAGTACTGTCCTTTAGCTTGGCAGATTTATTCCATCTCACATTCTACAATTTGTACGTGAAAGTTTTCTCTTGATGGGAAGGCAAGCACCATGAACATAAAATGTTCCACAGCCAGCAAAATATAGCTTTTCCTCTTCCTAAGGCTAAAAAAGGAAATTGTTCTCATCAACTAAAGCCAACTGAAAGAAAAAGCCAGCTGGTTATCAAAGGACATCACTACAGATCTAACTTCCTACAGTCTTGCGTATAATCCTTCTTGATGTATTCTACTACATAGAATCAATGGAGTAGTAAATTGGTTTTCCAGTCCAGTTAAAGGAAGTGTGCCATCTAGTGGATAATGATGTATTTCCATAATAATAAAATGTCAAGATTGTATGGGTACATGTAATATAACAGATATTTACACAAGAATAGTCTAACACAGAGAATATTAGATAGACATACACACACAGGAATGCCAGTAACTTGACATTTGTGACTTCCATGAGTCTTTTATACTAGCCAAGCATCTTTCTCAAAGTTCAGCTGAACTTTTTAGAGACAGTTAATGCAAAACCACTCAGAATCATTGAAAATACATTATTGGCATTAAGGTCTGAGGTTTTCAGATAACGATCTGGAGATCTCTGCATTTATAACTAATTGGACAATATTCCTAACTGCTCTGGAGAATATAAACAATCTGCAACCCAACTAAGAATGTTAGCCTCTGTCATCCAGCCTTTATTTTATGGCATCAACAGTACAAGACATTTCCAAAATCTGTGTACAAAATAATAGGAACATATTACATCCTTATTTTATAAATGAGAATATAGAGATGCCTCAAAATTATGTTTGGGGAAAATGTAAAATATAATTTAATCTGAATACAGCTAAGTTAATTTTCTGCAACAAGAGCAATAGCATTTATTTTCTAAATATAAGGGAAAAAAGGGAAAGAAAACAAGGAGAAAATATCTGCCTTGTTTCTCCAGTGAAAGTGGTCTTTGATCTGCTAGTATCTTTTACTTACAGATACTCTTCAAAAGCATTGCCCATTCTGTTGAGACATCTCAACCTCAACAGGTATATCAATTCAGAACTAAAAGAGAAGATCCAGGATCAGCACAACACGGCCGATAAAAAAATTACAATAGTTGAGGCGTAAGATCTGGGACCAGAAGCAGCACTGCATCTGTCCTACAACAGACACTTAGCTATTGTTTGGAACAATACCACAAGGGAGAAAGCACTCCTATCCTTGCAAAGCAAAATATCGTGATGCAGATGACTAGAGGAAAGAAATACAGAATCATCTTAGCATTCTGTTGACCCACAGAAATAAAGCTCCCCGGAGGCACCAGGTTCAGACATGGCAATAGCTATCTTTGTCTCTCGCTCAGAGTCAGTAGCATTCCTGCCCAAAGTGACCACACTCATATGCTATTCTGCATACTGTTATCTGTTCACTGATTAGAAGTCTTTGAGATACCACAAGAAACAATCTACTCTTTCTGCTAACTTCGAATGAGCAGCACAGAATACTTCTTCTGGAACCACTGTATGAATGGAGCGTGTAACAGCTAGTGTGGTGTCATAATTAAGGCACTGGTTCGGCACCAAGAAGACCCAGGGTCAAGTCCACCATTAGGCATGGAAGCTCCATTGGTGACCTTGGACCAACCATTCTCTCTCAGCCCAACCTGCATTCAGAGAATTGATCTGAGGAGAAAAATTGGAAGGAGCACTATGTAAGCTCCTGAAAGAAAGGCAGACTATAAATCAAGCAAACAGATCAATAAATTATACAATTGAGAAAAGCATAATTACATAAAATAATTTCCTTGAGGTTCACTGGGTTACTCTTAAGTTTCAAGCTGATTTTATTGGATTGATTTACCATGTTTATTTATTTCTTTATTAAATCTATAGAGGTTCACTGCAATGCAATGCACATTCCCTTCATCTCTGGGGAAATGTGATGGTCTTTAAACCACTTTTAAGTCAAGTTCTTTTTATCTAATTAGTAGGTCAATGTAGAGTTTGGTTGTTCCACCTAACTCTTGTTTAATTATCTTAATATGGTTTTAAATTATTATGGATACACACACACACACACACACACACACACACACACTTGGTCCTACTCCACAGCATTGTTTCAATGTTGTGTTGGTTATTTTAGTATTAATGTTGGTTCACTGGGTTGCTGTAAAGTTTCAAGCTGATTTTATTGGATTGATTTACCATGTTTATTTATTTATTAAATCTGTATGCTACCTGACTCCCAATGTTTTCTACTGTTTTCTAGTTCCCAATGATTTGTACTGGCCTTGGTAAAGGCATTATTATTATTATTATTATTATTATTATTATTATTATTATTATTACTACTACTACTACTACTACTACTACTACTACTCAAGATGTTTTTCTTACCCAATTCCATTTAACATTACCTCATAAAAAAGATATTTTGGGAATGTCATTCTTTCCCTTGAACGAAGAAACATGCTTGCTTCGTTGCACAATCAGAAACCTCACTAGCTTTTTTATCAAGTACTCCAATCTTAAATGAAGAGGTTAATTATCTGTAGCAAGGAGAGTCTCTGTATCATTTCTCTCCAACTGCAAAATTACATCATTAAACATGAACAATATGAGGAATGAAAAACCTTGCCTCGCTCCCTGCTTTTGGCTTCTCAAAGAATATCTGGCAGGCAGAATTTCGAGGCCCCAAAACATTTAACTCTCCCAACTCCAATCTGAATGTGACAGAAACACACCCAATATTTCAGACCATAGAAAGTATCTGCACTCTAGCCACCTATTCATATTCTACAGCAACCGCAGTTATTCAGAGCCGTATCACCTCTACTCCTGGGGGGTGACTTAGTAGTCTTGTTCTCCATGAATGAATCCAATCCCCCTTCACCAAGAGTGGACCAAACGCTCTGAAGTTAAGAACTGGATGAATGCTCCTTTCATCAAAAGCACACCATGAATTTTCAAGGATACCACACAGAGAATAAGCACCCCTTGTGTAAGGAAAGAAAGAAAGAGAAGAAAGGGAAAGAGCTGACCGTGTTACACCATGCCTGATCAAGCAAGAACATGCTACTCAGATGTTACTTAGCTATTCAGATCAGCAAAAGGGACACCTCTGAAGATATCCCTTGGTGCCAGAGGTTTGAATATCTGGCACACAGGAAAGGGTCCTTCCTCTATGGCTCCCAGGCTGTGAAATGCATTTCTTAGGGAGATGCCCTTAGCTCCCAACATTTAGGAAGACATCTCTTCCACCAAGCTTTTAATTGTTTGTTTATTTTAATGCTTGATTTTTAAAAACAAAAAGGTGAATTTGAATTATATTAATACTGTTTTGTTCACATTTTGTATATTCCAGGCTGCTGTAAGCTGCACTGATTATCAAATGGATAGGAAGGCATGATGTACATCCAGTAACAAACAAACAAACAAACAAGCATGGATGGCCCAGAGTTTCACTACCATCTTTCACTTACTTGATATCTAAACCCATGTTCTGATCCAGTTTTTCCCAAGCACTGAGCTTTTCCTGAAGTTTCTGAAGGAGCAAACCAGAGAAAATTGACTGGAAAAAATCCAACAGTACAACTACACCTGAACATATTCTCATTCATCCTCAACTTATTTTTAAACTTTTTTATCAAACTGTAGCAGTTATACCGCCCAGTCATAAAAAGCACCCATTTGTGTCCAAGCTACTCCACCCGAGAAGATCCTAAGATGTTGATCCCCTTGTAGGCTGTTCATTTTATAAAACATTTCTGGGATTTAAGCTCAAGCTGTGCAGACTGGTCCTACAAATAGGAAATTAACGCAAGGTCTTCTGTATCTTCTACACAAAATTCCCTTTCAAACAGATGGATGAAATCAGTTCACATTTCATCCATCTTTAAATTCCAACCACACAGGCTTGCCAAAGACTCCAGCGCCTTTCTAATCTAAGCAATTGAATAGTCGGCAGTTGCTAAAATTAATGTAAATGTCTGCACTCTAAACAACTATTTTCACACCGAGACATGGAAATCAATATTATTGATTCCGTATAGTGTATTTAGTTCCATTGGGAGCAGAAATGATCTGAGTGTAAATCTAAGGCTCTTAAAGGAAGTGGTCACCAAATTCTATCTAAAGGCTTAGCAAGCCTGCAGATGTGTAAGCTCAGACTGGAAAATCAATTAATCTGATTCACACCTAAGGGCAGCAGGAACAACTAGGAGTGTTGTATTCACTGAGCTTACCTCTTTCTCCAACTCCAGAGCCACACGTTCTGCCTGAACCTTTTCAAAACGCTCAAGCTTCCTTTGGAGACCCTCTACTTCCTCTCTCAGCAATCCATTGTTTTCTTTCATTTCCCTGGGAAGACACACACATAAAAACCCTCTTTGTTAAAAAGTCCTACCCTCTACTTATCTGCAAATCATCATGCTGCCAAGGTATAAACATTTGGTTATAACACAGGTATGGAGAAAGAAAATTTTATTTATTTTTTATTTATTTATCCTATTTATATAGCTGCCCATCTTACATAAAACTGACTCTGGTCAGCGTACAACAACAATTAAAAACAATAAATACATAAAAACAGTCATAATTAAAAAATAACTAGAAAAGCACACAAAACAAGAGAGGATGATATTAGTAAGGGAGCCATCCCAAAATCTCCCTGGTCTCCTGGGACTCCCAGGCCTGATCACATAGAATGGTTGTGATACCAAGCCTGGCAGCAAAAACTGGCAAAAGGGAAGAGAAAAAAATAGCATGCATATCTTGACACACACACACACCCCAAATATAATCATTTTCTTCTTCTAACCTAAGATAAGCATTCTCCTCCCTAAGTTGCTGTAACTCCCGTTCCATCTGGGGAAATTGTGCCAGCTCAGTCTTCATGTTCTTCACAATCATAGCATCTTGTTCTTGCAAGGAGAGCTTTTGCTCAAGATCCTGGAGAAACAGGGCCAAGAAAACCATCAGAAAACAAGAGACCAAAGATGATACTGTAAAATGGTTGCAGCCATTTTTATTTCCCTGTTCAGTCCAAGAAACCAGATCACATGTGGTCTGGACATGGAAGCTGTGTCCAAGAACAATGTACCTCTCCCCAAAACAGAAACCTGTTTTTAGCTGTAAAGTTGCATCTGGAAACACATCATGATATTACTAAAATGTTTCTGTATTCCAAGCCCATTAGCTGTGAACGCATTTTGCCTTTTTAACAAAAATCACTGCTCCAGTCCTGTGACAAATAATTTAAAATCCTTCTGAATTAGAGGATATAAGGCTCTTTAAAGCCCTTCTTAAAATAACTGGATCTTGAATTTTTGTGCAACTCCCCTTAATTTTTTTTACCTTTTTTATGAGGCAACAGTAAAATTTAGTACTTTCCTAAGAGTAGCTTGGTAGAGCTTTCTTCATGTAATGAAAAGAGGAAAAAAACAGACATCTCACCTGAATCTTCTGCTCCTTCTTAGACATCAGCTCTTCCTTTGCCTGAAGAACTTGAATATGTTGACTGGCCTCTTGCCATTTTCTGTTGAAGGTGGACATAAAACATCCATTTAGTGCATATAGACACTTAGAAAGAACAAGTTCTCCGGTCATAATTCAGCAACAATAATGCATTTCTGTGTGATCCTGACAATCTTTTCCCATATTACAATTTTAAGTGTTTCCTACTACAGTCTCTTCTGTGCCTACAATTACACTGGCAGTATGATTAGGCACAGCACTATCAAGAGCTACAAGGTTTTTTCAAAACTTGTCCCTCATAACCAGGAAGATAATTCAAAACCACTTTAGGATGCACCAGGGAGGAGAATACTTTATTCCAACCGCCTTGATGAAAAATGGACCAATGCCCTCTATGCGTTTTCACAAAAGCAAGAGATGTACACCCAAGGACCAAACAAAACTCCAAGCAACCAGTGTCAGTTTGCTAGACATTCCACAGGCATTTATCTCCCTCAGCTCCTTCCTAGGGGGAGCGTGACCCCCATCAAGAGCCGAAGTTGGTGTTGTTCTGGAATCATTTGGCTTCTGAATTAATAGTCACTCCATCTTGCATGGGTTGAGTCTCAACTTATTGCTCCCCATCTAGACTTTTACAATCTCCAGACACTGGGTCAAAACCTCCAATACTTCTCTCATTTGAACTAGGGTACGGACATGTAATTGGACCTCATCCATGTATTGATAATCCTGTATTCCAAATGACTTCCCCCAGCAGCTTCACGCAGATGTTAAATAAAACGAGAAAGAAGTTTTGACCAAGTAATCACTTCCAGAAGCCATTAGCTGTATTCGGACTGCACAATTCTTGTCCAGTGAATTCTATGTAGAGAGTAACATCCAAACATGATGCTAAGGTCCTGAGTCACAGAAGAATGTAAAGCCCGCTTCAGCAATACCAATCACCAATCAATTACAGGCGTAAGAAAAATATTTTTTACTGGCCTTCCATGGTCCCCCCTATATATTCCAGTCCACTATTATAGACAAAGAGGACAGGACATTTAAATGTTGGATTTTTAAAAAACCTTAAATTACATATTTTTCAGAGTTTATCCGTTTTTAATGCTACCTTTTCTGATAACTGCAATCCTTTGAATTTTGACTGAATTTTGCTGCCACGGACTTCAGAATTTCTTCCCTGGCAGTTCTTCACTACCCACTTACTTGTGTAGCATATCCAGCTGTTCAGTCAACTCCTGATTTTGGGATTCCTGCTTTTTCATCTCCATCTCCTGATTCATCAAGTTCCACTGTAACTCTGATATCTTCCCCTTTAACACACTGATTGTCTGAGAGAGAAAGAATTAACTAACACCATGCAGAGCCTGTAGGCTAAGCAGTGAAGAAATAAACTTTTGATAAAATGCTACCGGTGAATGTGAGATCCAATAACACTTATCCAGACCTTTTAATATGCAGGCACCTTAGAACAGAACCGCTCTTTGTTCTCTCTGATGCCCCTTTAATTGTCATTGCTTACTAAAGGAACTTGCAAGTAGCAAGTTTCAAAGTGAGCATGTGCATCTATAAAGGAACCCATCAAAGGGATGCAAATTGTTCCATCAGCACCTTATGAATATATTCTCTGCAATGAAATTTCAAAAGGGAACTAGTATAAGTTCTCCCAGCAAAGGATAAGCAATGGTGACAGCATTAAGTTTTCAACAGAACTGGACAAGCCAGTTTTCAAAACTAGGTGACATGCAGGCTAGAAAAGATCTAAACCTGCCTTTGAGCCTTTCTATGTTTGTAAAGCAATTACATAGTCACTCCTGGAAACTAAGAGCAACTTCTTCTGTTCACTTTTCAATTTCTCTCCAATTTCCAGGCCTTTTCTCCAAAATGCACTCTTCTACAGAGTATGGTTTTATGGATATTCAATTACTTAAATCTTACGAGGAATATGTACAATCTGCTCCATATGCAACAGAGCTAGCATGAAGTCCAAAACTGCTCTGATGCATCATAGTGGAAATGTCAGTTTGCAACAGCATTTGAACTAGAGAAGGAACGATGGAAACAATTAAATGGGAAGAGCTGATGTTATAATTATTATTCCATTATTATTTCCTGATAGGGCTACCTGTCTGTGCCCGTAGATCCTTCATATTAATTTTATCTTATTGCCATGCAAACTCCAAGTTCCTTTGCTGCCTGTAAATTATTATTTTTGCTGCCAAGAATTACCCCTCTAGAACTGCTTCAAGATACAGCTTCCTAATTTCTGCTGTCACAGACTTAAAGCATCAGAAGATGCTGCCATTCATTTCATGGAGATGAGACAACACTGCTGTCATTTTTACTGTCACCTAACTCTTGCGATAAGAGGTATTTGTAGTAACGTCCATGCGTGCTCCAAAATTACATCAAGTACAGCTTTCACAAAATTAACTGCTTTGCTCTCACTTCATTAGCCTCAGTCAGCTTGTTCTCCTTCTCATGTAGCTTCTTATTCAGAGTCTCTATGTTCTTCTGACAGGTTCTGTTGATCTCAATTTGTTCCTGAAGCATATTTTTTGCCTCAGTTTCCCTTTCCTGACACTGCTTGATACGCTTAAGGAGCTCTTGATTACGATCAGCCTCCCGCTGGAAAAAGAAGAAGAGAAGAGAAAGTTTAGGAGAAAAAATACTACCCATCTCAACTACGAAAGGACTTCCAAGTCTCTTAGCATTCCTTTAGAACCTCAAAAAAACAGTCGACAGACCATAAATTTCTAATGTTGTGGCTACTGGAGCAATCTCAGACAACAACTGCCTTGTCTGAATATATCAAGAGAGAGAGAGGGAGGCACGAAACAAAAAGAATGGAAAAAAGAGCAGAGAAATGTAAAAGAGGAAGAGATACAAAGATAGATGGGGGGGGGGAAGGAAACAAGAAAAACATGTTGCTTAGAACATTACCCATTCCCCTAAATATTTCTGTATTTAATTGTGTATTTTTGCAATGTTTGTAGGCTACCTTGAGTCTTTTCATCTGGAGGCCTTATAAGTCTAATGTTTATTATGATGCTTCCAGTTCCACTAATTATGTGTCACAGCTGAGGTTGGCCAGTTTTCATCTTCATCATTCAAGCCTTACCCAAGGTCGTGGAAAGTGTAAAGATAATGTCTAATTATGCACCAGGTGCCCAACAGTGCTACAGTCTGTAGTCAAGGTGTGTAAGTGGCTCCATAGTTAGGCATAGCATTGCACATAGCACCCTGTTAGCACCACTGCCCACATCTTCCAAATGTCTGCAATCCCTATTTGCAGATCTCAGGATGCCCCTTCAACATTACTGTACTTGGAAAGGCTACATCAATAAACCAAACATAGTTATTTTCAATGACAGTAATGTTTGGTGTGTTATGTTCCAGGTGCTGATCAGTCTGAATTTTAAAATCTCAGAAAAATCCTTGCTCAGTCATTTTCAATGGCTTTTCTTGATTTCACGCTTCTTATTGACTGCAACTGTGAATCTGTACTTTTTACATAAATGCCAGTGTAAACAGCTTTCCAACTTGATCGTGGCTTGCTTTATCATGCAAATTTGCTGCATCCAGCCATTATATACGCAACTGTTTCATCCTTAGCACAATCGGCATTTTCCGCCTAAACCGTTTTTTTCCACCGCTCCTCTGATGACATTTGTGCATAGTGCCTGTTCTTCAACAGCAGAAAGCGTTCCTTCTGTTTCCCTTTTTAACGTACCATTCTTAAACCACTTAGTCCAATTTTCCTTCAGTATCTTTCAAAAAATGCCCATGGAACATTTTGGTTTTCCAATGTTCTAATCTCATTTCAAGCTGTTACTTTTTGTAGTCAAGTAGATTCCACTTCTTCACTAAATCCTTCTTTCTGAGGCTTTTTTCCCCCATAGTTTCCTTATTCTTCTTGATATAATCATTATGCCCTTGTTTCTCCTCCTCTGCAATTTGCTTTACCTGTAAAAGTCCTCAGCCACCAATCTTCCTTGGAAGATATAATCTATTAACATCACTAGTGCATTATTCAGAGTCATCAATTTTCTAGTTTGCCATCCAAGTTATCAAGGTCCATCTCAGACTAGTCAACTCTTCCTGTAGTGTACTGATTTATTGGTACTGCCCATACGTTGATGGCTCGGATTATATTAACGCCGTTTAAACTAGGCTTCAGGGTTTTCTTTAATCACTTGCAGTGTTCTAAGAGTATTTTTCTATTTACTTGGAGGTACAAAATATCTGATATTTCCAAATATTTATAAACTTGGTCAAAAACCAAAAGGTTGATGTATTTATGAGTTGAATACCTTCTTGGGAGTGAGTGATTTCCCCTTTCTTTACTTCATTGATCACACATTTATCAAGTCCAAATTGCTCTGCAACATCACTACTAAATATCTGAACAGTTTTAGTAATGATTCCAGTTCGGCTTGTGATTTGTCATCTAAGTTTAGATCATCCATGTAAAAAAGATGGCAGATGTTTTTGACTTTGCTTTCAACACTGATAGTTATTTTTAGCTTTATTTAGCCTCCGGCAATGGGAGTGTTGCCAAATTGAATAATTAGGGTGATAATGAATCACCCTGAAAGATTCCCTTTGTACTACTTTATTATTTTATTATTATTACTATGACTATTATTATTTTGCATGCAAGAAATAATTTTTCTGCATTTTTAAATACTTTACTGTATTGAACCATACAGTGTGGTTTAATACAGTAAAGTATTTAATGATGCAGCAGAATGATTTCTTGCATGCAAAATAATACTGATCCATCTTTCCATTCCCTCAATGCAGAAGCTGTTCCTAAACAAAAAGCAAACACAACATCAAACATCCATGATACAAATCTGGGGTCACATCGCCTTTCTAAAGCCAGAGTCAACTACCCTCCCATCGCAATAAATCCACAGTTCTTCATACAGCGACACAAAACTACCTTCATGAGGCCAAGCAAACACGGGTCGCAAGAAGGGTCACAAAAAGAAAATTCAGTTCGTACTGCAATTCTTACAAAATTAAGTTCAAAAAGTCTTGTATGCATCCTTTGCACATTGCTTGTCTTTTCAGTGCCAGGCTAATTGTCAACTGTGATTTCCTATAATTGGCTCTGCTGACGCCAATTAAAGATCCACTGGAGTGTTTTGGAGGGGAGGGTGGCACTTATGTTCCAGTTGATATGACTTTACCTGCTTCGTTATGAAAAAGAAGGAAAATAGACAACCGCCTAATAAATTCCAGACCTGCTTAATGCCCATTTTCAGGGGCTTCTGGGAAATTCACATATCAGCCAGATTGCAGAGTTCATTTTCTCGGTCACAAGGACCCTTTTGTAAAATACGCAAAACACTTGCTTTGACTAAAATAAAACTCTGCAAAATCCAACAGGCAGGACTGATTTTCTTCCCATAAAAATCTATTCCATCCTCCCTACCCATCTCCATTTCTGTACTCCAGCATACTTTCCCATTTCTTTCCAACTCAAATTGATTAGCATTTATTGGGGAAAGCGTGTAGCCAATTGCTCTGCTAATCAAAGTAAAACAAGCTACGGATTTACATACTCAACAAGGCAAGGATTATGCAAAACAGTATGAGGTTCCTAAAGCCTTTATCCACATGACTCCTGAAATGCCATCTCAAGCAGGGCAATTACCACATGGCTGGATTAGAGCTGCTCCTTTTTGTAGGAGGATTTTAAGGGTTTCCATGATTGACTCAGCTAGCTAGGGGGGTTGAAGTAACGGTAGAATAATCGGCAGAATCACTTTAATTGAAGAGCTGGGAACCTCCTCAACCACTCCAGTTTGCTTCGCCTCAGCAGAGATCTTTCTGCTTACTCTGTTTCATTCTTGGGAAGCATCTGAATTTCTGAAGCATTCTCCAAGATGAAATGCACACTCACCGTTTTACTTCTGGCAAAAAAAAAAAAAAACACAAGGCAAAGGCAATCACACCACAGACCGGTTGCCAGTTCAGCTCTTCACGTGCCAGATGTAACATGCCCGTATCCTCATCCTGCTTTTCACCTCAAGAGCACAAGCCGGGGCACAGAGGATGATCCAGTTCTATCGTCACCATGTATGTGAGGCAGACAAGGCTCAGGAAATACCATTTTATGGCTATCCAATCATCTCTACAGCTTGGGAACTTGAACCCATGCCCCCAAATCCAGATCTCCCTGTTTATGTGAACCAGCCTGCATTGAATAAACCATAATTGGCTCTATATTGTGCTAAACCATAAGCCACAGTTTGTAAACCATAAAGACTGGCAGAACAAGCTGCGTCCAAACAAGGCAAGCTACAAATGCTCCAGTCCAATGCAAAAGCCCACCCCCCAATATTGCTCCCCAACTCACCTCAAATTTGTTGGCGTTCAGACTAGCCGCCTTCTCAAGTTCAATTCGAGCTCTTTTGTGACTTAGCTCCATTTGCATTTTCTCCCGTTCCATTTGCAAAAGCCGCGTCCCCGAATGGATTTGCCCAGCCTGGTCTTCAAGCTGATCCGTTGCCAGAGGAAAAAAGAGACCAAACAGCAATCACATGAGGCTGCGGAAAGAGGCTTTCCATGCCTCCATCTCTGGAGCGGGGAGGGGATTGGGAGCCCCTGAAATTAACCTACAGCGTTTTAAGAGCAAGCCCCACCCCCAGAGGTAGACAATAGTCTGTCCAGGAGTACAGGTGCCTACCAGGTTCCCTGCTCCACCTGATTTTATCCATTTAATGAAAACTAAAATAAGCATCGGTAGGGATGTGCCAACTAGTTCAGGTAGGAACTGTTCAGGGCCCAGAATGGCTGGTTTCCAGTGGTTCATGTCCAAACTAAAACATGCATGTCTACTCTGGATATGGACCAAAATACAGCTGCTTCAGGAGGCAGTGTCAGGGGCCAAGGAGAAGAACCGGGAAAGAGGCTGTGAGTGCTGGTTGAGGGAAGATCCAGGGCAACCCAGCGAGATATGCCCTGCTGAGGTATCAGCTCCAGCTGAGGGGCGGAAGAGAAGACTGGCGGGCAGCCTGGCTCCACACTCCCTATAAAATTACTTTGGGATGCTTTTGGGTTTTGTTTTGGCCCAAATCCAGAACAACAACAAAATATTCTGCATTTTGTTTGTGCCCAACTGCACCCCATCCGGAATAGTTTGGTAGAACTTCCAGAAAGTAGTCTGTCTGGGGTTCAAAACACAGCATACTTTCCATGACCTTAAAAACGTGTATGCTGAATAGCAAAGCACCTGTCTTTAGCACTGTATTTCTTTGCAGGATTGGCTTCGGGACCCCCTTTAACATGAAATTAAAAGCAAGCTGGCTTTCCTGGCTGAGTGCTCTGCAAAGAAATTAAATACTGTGATACAGGTTATTTGGAGAAATTCCTGTTTCTTAATTCAATCTATCATACAGGCTGCCAAAAGCATTAAATATTGGAAAGAGGATGGAAATAACACGCAGAGCTGAGAGCAGGTTGGAAAAAATGAAGAATAAAAATATAACTAAAAATGCTTTAGCTGCAGTACTTCAAAAGAAACACAGTTGCTCCCTCCTCCCTTACGTTTTCACCAAACCATGCATTTCTCTTCCATTGTTTGCAGAAATCCTGAAGACTTCTTCTAATGCAAAGCCTTCACTTTATGCAGATTTATGCAACCTGAATGTTTGCTGGGCATTCACACCTGGAAGAGAGATGTGAAGGCCCAGCAGAAAAAAAACAGAAAAACTCAAAACTCAAAAAAAATGTTGGTTTCCAACCTTCAGCCTACCTGCACTCTTCAGCCAGTGCCTATTTCCCTGGTTTTAACCCTGCTTCTTCCTCTCCCCCTCCACTTCTTCCCCAAACAGCTGTGATTTGGTCCATAGCCAAAACATTTGAAAAAACAGTTTGTTAGTACCAGGTTAGGAGTAAGACAGATTTATTTCAGTGATGCTCTTGTAATTACAATGACCATATTTTCTTAGAAAAAATAAAGGACAAATACGAAAAAGGGACAAATGTGAAAGAGGTTCATAAGGATTTTTTAAAAATTGCTTATGCTTTACAAAGGAAAATTCAAGAGCGACACCAAGAAAGTAAATTATTAAATTAAATAAATCGAAAGGACAGCTTTGTGAAATAAAGAACTGTCCTTTATGATGTAGGGCACATGGTCCCTGTACTTATAATACATATGATTATTTTGTTTGCTAAATTTTCATTTGCTTTGATTATGTGATTATTTTATTTGCTAAATGTGACCACTGAGGAGAGCTGAACTCCAGCAATCTCACCTTCATCATTTGCTGGTAGTGTGTCTGCAGTGAGCCTGGAGGCGACTGTGGGGCGGCTTGGCCAGACGTCTCATCCACAGATAGGGACATGAAATTGTTGTATGACTTCAGAATGGAGAAGACTGTTGTATTCCCCTCTGCTTCCTCCATCTCCATTTGAGTCCTGCCACGCATACAATTAAAAATAAAAAATTAAGGTTGTATCTCTTCACACGTGTCAAGTTACTATGCCCAAAACTGTAGCCTTCTTTCAACTGGATAGTTCTAGATAGGTTCAAAAATCTGACTTCTTTGATTAGAGAACAGACAGCATCTACATTTATTGCTGACTGGAAACCCCTTACAGAGTTTTTGCATGAAACAGAAAAAAATGAACTTTTGATTTGTGGTCTTGATGATTAGAAGACATTAGATAATAGAAAAAAGAGACTTTTTTTTTGTAACCATAGAGTAAGAGATAATTTTGTAATCGTATTTGCTGCAAAGGAAATTGGAAACTTCTTCTATTTCTTTTCATCTTTTCTTTTTTTACTTTTGTCTCTTCCTTTCTTCCTCTTTTTTCCTTTCTTCTCTTTATTTTGAATTCATTTTTGTTAGCTTTTATCTTCTTTGTAAAAAAATGTTTAATAATTTATACAAAATGTTTAATAATTTATACAAAAAATTAGATAGGTTCAAAAAACTCTCAAAATGCTCTGCATCTTTGCAAAGAGAGGTAATCTGGGGGTTACTGCAGAAGTCACAAGAGCCAGCAAGGTGCAGTATTAAAAATACAACAGCTAGACCAGGATGGGGGCGTTGAAGTCAAACATATGTGGAGCAGATGATGGTGAGGGATGACAGGACATACACCAACCCTTCTGGAAAGTCTGAGCGAGCGAGACTGATGCTCAAAGCACTGCTCTGCCATGTCCAACCTCGCATGACCGATGACGTCCTGACCCTTCAGGATTAGAAATTTGGCAACCTGACCTGACTGTAGCAGGGAAACTGACTCAGACAAAAGTTTTAAAGGGAAAGTTTGCCAACAAAAGCTTGGAAACACAAACAGCATCAGCGCCATTCACCTGCCGATCACTGTCACTGCCACAACCGTTCAAAACGCTAAGTCCATCCCAGGCTTCTCAAAGGCCTTACTTCACCATTATTTTCTTGGCATTTTTGGCAGAAAAAATTGGATGGATGGGATGAAGGTAAATGAATAGATTGTATTTTAATTTTTGTTAGCCAGAGTCACACAGGTGAAATGGGTGACCATAGACAGCGAAATGAAAAAATAAAATATGCTACAAAAACCAGGCTGTATTCACTTCATATGCTAATCCTGATGAGTTTTACCATTTTTTTTCTGTTTTCTTTTTGTGGCTCAGCATCTTACGCAAACCACCTCCTTCAGTGAATTTATGGTTCACTATATTGTGCAACACCCCTTCCCCCAAATAGTTAATTCAATAACCAAGCAAAGGTGCAAACCCAGAGGATGAATAGGTCGAACTGGAGAGAGGAACTGGGGAAAAAGAAATCCACAGCTGAGCAGAGGAGTTAAAACGTGTCTCCGATTAAACTTCCCTCCCTTGCAGGTCTCTCTCGAAGGAAAGGAAGAGGAGAAAGCCGGGTTGTGTGCACGCCATGCACAAAGCGTGTTCCCCTTCCCTGTCACAAGGTGGTGGTTGCCTTTCCCCAGGTGGCTTTCAGGCACTTTGGGCCAGAAACTTTAGGATGGCCAACGCGCAGAAAGGGGACGATGGGGCTGAAGCCAAGATCCAAAGGGTCATGTGTGTGTGTGTATGAGGGTCTTGTGTGTATTTATATATAGACACAAACACATAAGGGTCTTGTATTTACATACACACACATAAAGGTTGTGTGTGCATGTGCGTATATATAAGGATCGTGTGTGTGTGTGTGTGTGTGTATATGTATATATATATGTATATATGTATGTGTGTGTGTGTATATATATATATATATATATATAT